GCCACGAATCAAAATTTAATTCAAACACAGAATTCATGCCACTAAATAATCCGTACAAAGTTCTATTAATTTAACGGTATTCACTATATAAAGCACTAATCGAGCACTAGTTGTATTTATAACAAACTTAATATACGGCTCGAAGATGATCAATGGTTGGGCTGGCTACCATCAGTAATTAATATAAAAGCAGACTGTAAGTAAATAATTGTTTTCTGACGATAACCGTTCCAAATTTGAATCGTACTGAATAAAAACACTGTGATTGGTATAAAATCTGCATATATAAAAACTTCAAACTATTGCAAATACAGCGGTGATTGAATATACTTGTTGACTGTCCCGCTGCATTGTCCAGACTAACTTAAAATTATGACTGTCGAGTGTACAATAAAAACAGCCCTTGTGTGAATGACACAGAGCAGAGGCAGCAATATTCTAAGAAGTGTATGTGTAACGCAATACTCGGCGCCAAGGCACGTTGCATTGCAAATGTCAAGCCATCAGAATATGTTCTGACCAGTATATAAGTGAGCTTTAAAACTTTACCAAAATTAAAATTGAAATCTGAATTATTTTCGATATACAAAAAAAATTAATGAAATGTTTTTTTCACAAAACAATTGTTTTGTCAACACAAGCTGAAAGTTTTTTGAATCATTTACGCTTAGTTACGAATCGGACGCTTAGTTCTCTCAAAAACTGCAATTTTTTGCACATTTATCACTGTATCTCCGAAACCGCTGGACCCGTCTTTGCATAAAACTAATCACTCCTTCTCCCCGTCATTACGCATTGAATGTTTTTTGGATCATTCAAATCGGATGCTCCGATCTCTCAAAAACTCGACTTCTATTTTCTGCACCCTTTGCTCCGTATCTCCGAAACGTCTGGACCTGCCTTTGCCAAAAACTAATCAGCACATCTCCTTATCAATAGGAATCGAATGTTTTTTGAACCATTCAAATCGGTTTATCCGTGCGCCCGAAAACGTGATTGAAAAATTGTATCCATATTATATCCAAAATGTTCAGAAACCTTCAAAACGTCGAGAAATGTAAAAATTTTCAATTTCGATTTTTGGACGATTACAATAACTTACCCTACGGAAAGTTTAACTGACATTTTTTTATTTTTTTCTTAATTATAATTTATTTCAAAACTTTAAACGGGTTTTTCTCGAAACACGATTTTACAATGCGCACCGAAAATAACTAGCACAATTTGAATTTTTTTATTCGAATTTTTAACGGTATATTTAAAATTATATTTTTAAGAGCCCATCATAGCGGTTTTTGTATATATTAATTTGTTCATCAATTATTAACAAATTACTGTCCGTTTTTTTCGTTGAAATTCAACGATTTTGAATAAAGTGCTCGCCAAACAAACAAAATTTTATTTTCGATAATTTGAAATCGATATTTTTTAAATCCGCTATGATGGGCACTTTAGAATGTTAATTTAAAATTTACTATTGAAAATTCAAATGAAAAAAGTTAAAATTGTTGTAGTTATTTTGCGTTCCGCTAAGCCCCTCCAATTTGAAGCGGATCGCCGAAATGGAAGTGGTATCACCGTTTTTAATTTTTTTTTACAATTATATTTTATTTTGTTGCTTTGAAGTACAATAAATAACTATCTTTGAACTACCGAAAAAAATAAAAGTGCTTATAAATTGATTGAATATGTTAGCCTGAAAAGTGAATGAACAAAACTTAATGAAGCGGAGTTAGAATGAAGGATATTATCTAAGAATTGCATAAACTGAATGGCAAAATTAAAATTATTTATTTGATTCGAATTATTTTCGATAATAATATTTGAGAATTAAAAAAAATATATGTTTTAGTTTTTTTTTTGAAAAACAATCTTGTCGTCCAAAAAAGCAAAAGCTTTTTTAAATCATTTAAATCGGATTTTTCGTTTTCTTAAAAACTCGGTTTCTATCTTTGCTCCGTATCTCCGACTTGTATTTGTTAAAAACTAATCAGTACGTCTTCCCATCAGTAGGAATCGAATGTTCATTACATCATTCATACACGAAATATAACACAAATACACAGACACACATATCAATTTTTTCTATTGTATTCCAAAATGTTCAGAAACCTTCGAAACGTGAAGATGTGCAAACATTTTCGATTGCGATTTTTGAAGGATTACAATAACTTACCGTACGGAAAGTTAAAAGTATATACTGAAATTAAATGCATTTAAATTGTCACTATATTATAAGTAGATGCGAATTAGCTAATACAAAATCAGTTTAAAAAAAACACGATCTTTCGCATAAACCACACAAAAGATACAAATATTATATAAATAATATAATTTTCGAAATAAATTAATTAATATATTTTATATTATAAAAATAATGATTATTAGAATACTTTCAGTAGTAATTTTTGTAAATTACTAAAGTACTATATAAAAGGCTTCTACATCAATTTTTTTTTTTGATTTATTTTTCATAGCGAACTATACAAAGTACATTCAGCTATATTTTATTAGAGGTATATATTTACATCAAATGACTGTGAAATTGTAGTACTGATAAAGAATGGTCACAATAAGGGCTTTATTGTCACAATGTTACAACTATCATTCAAAAAAAATGTTTTTTGGGTTTGTTGATACTACAATGTTTCATTATATCATTAATTTATATGTATACATATCATATAACTATAAAATAAATATTTTCGCATTCACAATTTCTTAAGAATCGTTTCGGCGTATCGCGCACTGCTTTGCGTCCGAACGAACTCTATGCAATTGCAGGGTACTATTAGCGTTACGCGCGGGTGTACTGACTCCGGTTTTTTCAATTTTCCAATGTGTTCCACTAAATTGATCTGAACAATATTTGCAATACACAAAGAAAAAACAATAGGCTTTCGAATAACGCTAATTAGAAAGTGGTCCAAATAAATGCACTACCCGAAATAATCAATTGAAAAATTATTTTGTCTTTTTCAGCTAATAGTAAACGATTTTTTGGAATCGATTGTTCTATATAATGTGGTCTGGGTCAATGTGACTAGAATCACGTAAAAATTTTTTCGATATCTTTTATGGTTACGCCAAAAAGTGAGTTTGAAAGAAGGGGCCACTTTGGCATATTTTCAATGATATCTCGCTCGGCCATAAATGAGGTACAAAGTTGAAAATTGGTATATCGGTTTTTATCAAATTGACCCATAAAATGGCGTATAAATTATTTAAATACCAGGGTGGGGCCGATTCTGTATGGCAATGCGCCCATACCCTTTATTACTCTGAACAAGAAATCAAGCATAACAATAGTTTGTGCAGCTGTGTATCATTTATATACAGATATACTCGTACTTCATAATGGACATCTATGCAATTTATTTATTGATAGTGTTAATGAAATTATTCAAGATGTATGAACGAATAATATAGAATTCATTAAACAGCAATTACTTCACTTCTCTAATGAAGGTTCAAGTCCTAAATACTAATTACTACGACAAACCGATCATGTCGTATTTGAAGTATGACTTTAATTTCATTATTGTAATATTTTTAATGCTATTATAAATGCATATATAATTTATAATTTATCATTATATAAACGTATATAATGTTTGACACTAATAAATGTGTGCATCAAGAATGTTACCATATTACTAATAAATATTATTCAAAATTGGTATATGATGTATTTATTTTTACTTAACTTGAATTTGCTACTTAGTAGCAAATAAGTTTTACTTCAATCGCGTGTGATCCTTACGGGCACTCTTTTTCTTTTTTTTAATTTAATCTTTTATAAAAAAAAATAATTTTTAATACGGGAAGCAATTTTCCCTACGTGAAGATGCCATGCACCACTAGTTTAACCAGAAAACAAAGGGTCTTAAGGGTCCTTAGACTATCATGATTATTGGACTTAACTTAAAATGTCAGTTTTCACAAATGGCAAACCAAACAACTGTCGCATTTCTAAGTGATGTATTTTTTAACTTCCAGATTTGAATGGTTAAAAAAACATTCGATTCCTATTGATAGGGAGATGTGCTGATTAGTTTTTGGCTAAAGCAGGTCCAGCAGTTACGTAGATAAAGAGCAAAGAGGGCAGAAAATAGAATTCTGAGAGAACGGAGCATCCGATTTGAATTATCTAAAAAACATTCAATTAGTAATGATTGGGAGAAGTTTTGGCAAAGGCAGGCCCAACCATTTCGAAGATACAGAGCTATATGTGCAAAAATGGCAGTTTTTGAGGGAACTAAGCGTCCGATTTAAATGATTCAAAGAACTTTCTATTTGTTTTAATTTAAAATAAAAACAGTAATACAAAAATAATAACATAAATGAACTATGACGTGATGATGTATGCCGCGTACAAAGTCAGGGCGCGAGCAGACACTGGGCTAGGTGTTTGGTAGATCGTAAGGCCATTTTTTGCTTAGTCTTCTTAGCGGTCTGTGAATCGCTTGAATAGTAGAATTTGTATGCTGGTTTAATTTATTGTTCAAAGATGAACTTGTAATTTTGATCATTTCGTTGACTGTAGAGATTATCAAATCCTTATGTAGGCAAAAGTTTGAAATATACCAAGGCGCATTAGTTAGGATACGGAGAATTTTGTTCTGGCACCTTTGAGTGATGATTAACTTCCCGTAGGGTAAGTTATTGTAATGGGCCGAAAATCGAAATTGAAAATTATTGTTTCAACTTTTTTTTCAATTTTTTTTTATTCGGTGGGACCCGTGATTGAAATCCCATTGGACTCTAATAAATCCCATAAATCACTAATCCACGGTATACCCCAGCTTACTACTTCGATATTTGTTTACTTTTGACTTTTGTCTTTTTTGATTGATTTTGATTGAATGGGTTGATAATGTTTATTTATTTAAATTGTTATAAATGTGAAGCCGATTTTTTCTGAATAATACCTCAATATTTACTTAATTATAGATAACCTTTATCATGAATTTGATTTTGATTTATTTTTATATTAATAGGGACGGCGTTACCATATAAGCGCGTTGTATGTTGTCGATTTAAAAAAGTTCAGGAGAATTGCTGCAGGTGATAGATTGAGAGGGCAATATCAAGCACTTAGTCAAGATCCAAATAGTTTATCGAATTTAGGTAAGTACAACTACTTGTTTTTAATATTTATAATACTGAGTTTAATAAACAAATTATGGATTGAAATAATTAATTATCCCGAACTTTGACTGGATTTGATCCATTTTATAGATGTGTCTTAAAAAATTACTAATAGTAATACGAATTATATTAAATTTTATTTTTATTAATAAAGCAACATTAATATTGCTACTTTAAAAAACTAAGTAGCTAACTAAGGCGTATGCTTTAAGTTATAAATACTTTTTTGAAACTATTCTTGTTTTCCCAGATTTGTCTAAAATATGTAATTCATCAACTTAATGAAAAATGTTCTGTTTTCAAAATAAACATGAATAAGAAAAACTTCTCATAATTCAACTTGTAACTCTTCATAAATTGCCAATGCCATAGATTATTTGCCAATCTATTCTAATCAGTGATTTTTTAAGTAAGTGATAATTATGTAATAAATGTAAATAGATTAATTTTTTTTTTGTAGATCAAGATTTGCCAAACAACATGATACACCAGGTGGCTATCAAATCGCTTCCACAAGAGTGGCTATGGTGTGAAACATGGTGTGATGAGGACAGCAAAAGTGAAGCTAAAACAATAGACTTGGTAATTTTATGTTATATTGTTTGATGTATATACCTACTCTATGGCGTTAATGAATCGTCGATGATAATTTTATCATCCACAGTTTATAATTGAAGTATTTGCTCATTGACCTATTTTTTTGATGATTTTGCTTTTGAACAATTATTAAGTATTTTAAAAGTGAAATGATTTTAAATACAATTACTTTTGGCGACTTTATAAAAGCTGTTCTGTTATATTCTCTGGATTATCATATAATATTTACAGTTTTGTAACAATATATTTTTCTACTATGCCCTATTTTTCTATACAATAACATATTATGTTAAATGAGCATTTTGAATTTAGTGTAATAATCCGCAAACTAAAGAAGCTAAATTATCTGCTGCTGTCAGAATTATTCCTGAATGGTCGAGCTATGACAATGAGATTAAAACCTTACAAAATAAAATTGATGCTAGCCATTTGGCAGAGGACATTGATGGAAATGCTAATCAATTATATGGTTTGTCAAATAACATCAATTATCATTATATTTACTATTTATAATTATTATGTATGTAATTTCAGATACTGATGATTTCATAAGTTCATGGCACAGTGAGTTATGATAAAGGTTTTTTTTTACCGAGAAATGAACTAGTGATTAAAATTTGCTAAATAAATAAATTAATATGAATGAGCATCTGTTTTAATACTATACTTACTTAAATATTTCATTATTTGTTTGCGAATTTTGAAGATATGCCTACGTGGAAATACTGACATACTGTCATTATTATGTAATTTCAGATACTGATGATTTCATAAGTTCATGGCACAGTGAGTTATGATAAAGGTTTTTTTTACCGAGAAATAATCTAGTGATTAAAATTTGCTAAATAAATAAATGAATATGAATGAACATCTGTTTTAATACTATACTTAAATATTTTATAATTTGTGAATTTTGAACATAACTCACCTCAACATATGCCAACGTGGAAATACTGCAATACTGAAATACGACGCCAGCAGAATCATAAAATCTAACAATACTCGAGGGAGGGTATAATAATAAGTTAAAAAACAATATCTATGAACACTTAAATGGTTTAAAACAACTTTAATTGTCGTTAGTAACAATAATATGTAAAACAACACAACATAATCATTTAAACAAAGCTTATTAATAAAATATATCAATGCATAACAAAACATAATTTTTTAAACAAAGATAACCAGACTTCTTTGTGGAATCTTTTTTTTTCTTTTCTATTTTGTCTTAGTTAAGTTAGATTTTTTATCTGTTTAGGCTTTACCAGAAAAGGACAAGAAACACATGCCACAACCTTACCTACTAATTTTGTCACGACCATATTCCACGCACAAACTCCGCTTGATCCAGTTTTTTTTTCTTTTTTTTTTTTTAACTTATAAAAACGTCGTCGTCCAATTTATAAGCTCTTATATTTTGTCATTCAAATACGAATAATGAAATTTACAGTGTTTATAATAATCTATTTGAAATCGAGTAATATTTCTCAAATTTCAAGACAACAAATTCAGAAACTAGTGGGGTGGGTGGCATCGTGCCTTAAGGCAAATTGCTGGAACTTCCCGTACTGTAACGAAATGTTCGAGGAATACTGAATGTTTTCAAATAGATTATTATAAATATTGTAACATTGTCTAATATTGAAAGTTGAAATTATTTGTTTAAAGTATGTTAGAACTATAGTCAGAATTAAAAATAAAATCTGAATTATTTTCGATTAACAAAAAATTTAAAAAAAAAAAAAAAAAAATTGAACAAAAATTTTTTTTTCAAAATCAATTATTTTGTTAAAACAAGCAGAAAGTTCTTTGAATCATTCAAATCGGACGCTTAGTTCTCTCAAAAACTGCCATTTTTTACATATTTAGCTCCGTATCTTTGAAATGGCTGGGCCTGCCTTTGCCAAAAATTAATAAACACTTCTCCCAATCATTACTAATTGAATGTTTTTTAGATCATTCAAATCGGATACTCCGTTCTCTCAAAAAGTCGATTTCTATTTTCTGCACTCTTTGCTCCGTATCCTCGAAACGGCTGGACCTGCCTTTGCCAAAAACTAATCAGCTCTTTTCCCTATCGATAGAAATCGAATGCTTTTTAAACCATTCTAATCGGTTGATCCGTTCGCCCGGAAACGTGACTGGAAATTTGTATCCATACATACATACACACACACACACACACACACATCCATTTTTTCTGAGGTATGCCAAAATGTTCAGAAACCTTCAAAACGTCGAGAAATGTAAAAAATTTCAATTCCGATTTTCGGCCCATTACAATAACTTACCCTACGGGAAGTTAAAAAATACTCGACACTCGTCTCGTCTTTGTAAAATGTGTCAAATGAAGGGTCATTCAATATCAAACTGTCGGCGAAGAACCATATTCAACGCAGATGACCAGGTTGAAGAACCCCAAACTGACAGACGAAGCGATGTTCGACGCAGCAATCTAGCGCAACCCAGTCCGAGATCACCGTCGACAAATCGCGTGTCAACCGCTAATAATCCAAAAAACGAATAGGCGTCATCAGGTGTGTCAAAAATCAAGGACCCACCTGTATAAATAATTATAAAGTAAATACCGTGACATTAAGAAAATTTATAAATAGAAACCTAGTCGGCTTAATTTTTGTTTAAACAAATTATCAAAGACAGCTAGCATTGGTAGCACTGTTAGCACTACTGAAATACTAGAGTATCCTAACGCTTTTGTGACTTCTGCTTCTGTTAAAACTGTAAAGTATTAAAATAGGTTAGTAAAACCCAATAATAGTCATCGTAGGGCTAGTGAACTCACGATTGACAATTCAGCTAATATTTCGAATATAAAATTGATAGATGACTTAACAAAGACTCATGTAATTCCCAGGACAGAAACGACAGTTTCCTTTACGACCGATAAAGTAGGTGCACTATTCTGCGAATCGGCTGAAATCCTTAGGGAGTTTATGTTGCCAATTGTATTTTAAAACCTTCTAATAAAAGACTTTTTATTCATATATTAAACACTAACGATGAGGAAGTAACAATCACTGATAAATTATTTTTACCGAATCTGTATCCACTTGACGATTATAAAATATTAAAACTAAATGTGAATTGCGATTATGACCGCAAATTCTACGATTATGACCGCAAATTCTACGATTTATTTTATCTGGAAGGTGATAAACTAACTTGTACTAGTTCAATAAAGCATGCTATTATGACTAATGATGCAAAACTTATTTATATAAAACAATATAGGCTTCCTCAGGCCCAGCAGATTGAAATTAAAACGCAAATGGATGATTTGCTCAAAAACGATATAATTGAAGCTTCCGACGAAAGCCCATGGAATTTTCCGCTTCTGGTTGTTCCAAAGAAGCATGATATTGAAGGAGTCGGCGCGTCTGTGTCGACTTTAGAAAACTGAATGAAATTACATTCAGCGACACTTAACCCGTACCAAATATAGCCGAAATCTTGGATCAACTAGGAAATTCTAGTTTTTTTTCTACTCTAGATTTAGCTAGCGGATTCCATAGGGTAGAATTAGACGAGAAGGATCAAACGAATACAGCCTTTACAGCTGTAGGGAAAAAGTTTCAATACAAACGTATGCCATTTGGTCTTAAAAATGCACCTAGCATGTTACATTGGTTGACTAACATGGTTTTGGCCGGTGTTGAAGGATTCAAGGGATAAGTGTACATGGATGATATTATCTTTTATGTTAAGACTCTTCATGAGCATAATTCTCGGCTGCGCAATGTTTTGGAACAGTTGCGCAGCTATAATCTCAAACTCCAGCCAATAAAAGGTGAGTTAACGTATGGTGAGTCTGAGGCGTGAGTTAACGTATCTTGGGCATGTTATATCAGAAAAAGTCGTCACACTCGATCCTGAAAAGGTACCGGCTGTCCAGAACTTTTCTGCATCTATAAACCCCATAGAAACAAAAATGTTTCTAGGTTTAGTCGGTTATTATATAAAGTTGAATCAAATATTATATAAAAAAGCAAATCTATTGAATGTGTTATTAAGAAAAATGAGGCATGGAAATGGGGTGGTCCTCGAGAGGAAATATCATTTAATACTCTCAAGAGTGCAATTTCTAGTGCGCCCATACTACCGTATCCTGATTTTGAAAAACCATTCATCTTGACAACCGATGCTAGCGGAGAGGCAAGTGGAACCGTGTTAGCGCAGGAAGAGTCTACAGGAGAGTTGTCATCCCGACAACTCAACAAGCATAAACAGAACTATGCCACAATTGATAAGGAATTATTAGCTATTATTTGGAGTGTACGACAATTCAGACCTTATTTGTACGGACACAAATTCCTGATTTACATGGATCACCAGCCGCTAACATACCTCTACAATTGCAAGGAGCCTACCGCTAGGCATATTCGGTGGAAACTTGCGATGGACGAATACGACTTTGATGTCCGGTTCAAACCTGGAAAAGCCAACGTCGTCGCCGACAGCCTGTCGAGATATGGAATGGAAAACCAAAATATCGAAGAAAAGTTGGTTTTAACACTGAGAAACGCCTATGAGAAATTTATAAATTCCTGAAACAATAATTACATAAGTAATATTTACTTAGTATAGAGTAACGACAATTAATACCAGTCTAAAATCCATACATCGAGTCATTTTTGTTTCTAAACGAATAAATGATTTTACAAGAGACACAGCAACTCATTCAACTATACAAGCAATGAAGGATGCATATAACTACATTTATTTATTAACACATAAGGAGATTATAGATATATAATTAATAATATAAGGAGATTATATATAGAGATATAATTTTGTATATTATATGATTTTTGTTAAAATGTATATTTTTGGAAATATTTGCAAAAAAATATATAAAAAACGAAAAAACAAACAAATTTTCAGTAGCCAGTAACTTGAAAATTATTTGCTTTTTTGCAAAACATTATGAAACATTTTTTTCTTATAACTAGCAGACCTGTGAACCGGACCCGGTCCCAGCGCGGTTCCGGTTCTGGCACAGGTGCTGAAGCCGGTCCCCAATTCGCGGAACCGGCAACGGTTTCATAGTTGTAAATAGCATTTCAAAACCTAATTTCATTTAAAAATTAATTACCGTATTCGAATTAAGAACTTAAAGTTCATCATCAAGTCATTCTGAATTATTGGATACCAAATTGGGCGTAAGCGGCATTTTGCCAAGTATTTCTATCAATTTATATAATTTTATACTGGTGACCTATGACATCTACAATGAAGATAGGAAGATCAAGAATTGAAAGAAAATATAGACTTTTGTGCAACGACCTAATCACTGGTCTTCTGTTGGCTACTTAAAATGTTCGCTCAGTCCTCGGGTCATTTCGGGTTAACGCATTTACTCTAGCCATGACACCAGACTTCCGTTGGCATACTCATTCTATATATCCAGACCTCGGGTTATTGCTGACACCAAAAAATTCACTGGAATCACAAATTAACTTCTCCTTGTCTTTTAACTCACCAAATCGTCTTTTGATGAGACTTTGGAACTAGATCTGGATTGTATGTTGTTTTTAGATCTCGATTTATAAACTTCATCCAAGTTGTCGTCATCGACTCTAGTCAATCAAACAGTAAGCTCTTATGAAGATTCAGGCAATTCAATCCT